CACATCCATACACATGTATATATACGCGGACACATGCATTTTTCCCCGTTCTACATGTTATTTACTATGACAAATGTTCCTGACCTGGGACAAGTTATGCGTTAATGCTGTTGCATTTTCTGCAAACTTGTTCATTATGAGTTATCAACCAAAGCAGGCTTCCCCCCCTCCCCGTTGTTCATTTTTTAGTATTAGGAGCTTCCAGAAAATGTGTTACAAAACAAAGTCTCTTAATTCTTCCCCTCACACTCTCTGCCCTATCTCATCCCTGGTAGTGTCAATTAAAGCTGATAGGCTTTCTTTAGGCAATATGGGATAAAGGTGGGAAAATCAAGTTCCAGGCACCAGATGTTTTCAGAGAGCTTGCATTATTGTGGGTGCTTATTTGTCACACAAGACAAAGGATATTGAATGCCTCCAGTCAGGTCAGAGACTGAGCAGATTTAGACGTTTCTTACCATTTTTTTCTCCCACATCTGTAGTTGTAAGTTAGTATTCATTGAAATAAAACTTGACTTGTACTTACATCAATGAGTCTATGAAAATGGATCCAAGCTTTCACTGGTATTTGCTGGTAAAAATTTCATTACCATCCTCCTGCATTTTTCAAAACTTCCTGGTTTTGGTTGCAATAGAATTAATTTTCTTCCTAGTAGCTGGTACAGTATTGTGTTTTGGCTTTAGCCTGAGAATAATGTCAATAACAAACTGATGGTTTAGTTGTTGCTAAGTAGCGCTTAGTCTAAATCAAGGACTTTTCAGTTTCCCATTTTCTGCAAGTGAGGAGGGGCACAAGAAGGGAACATAGCCAGGAGAAGTGGCCTGAACTAGCCAAAGGGATATTCCATACCAGAGAATGTCATGTTCAGTATAGAAATGGGGGGAGCTGGGGGGGGAGGGGCTGGTTGCTGCTTGGGGATGGGATGGGCATTGGTCAGCTGGTGGTGAACAATTGTACTTGTGCATCACTTGAGTTTCTTAGGTTTTATTCCTCTCTCTTCCTTTTATTGTTACTATTGTTGGTTTTGTTATTACTATTAATATTATTATATTTCACCTTATTTCAATTATTATACTGTTCTTATCTCAACCCATGGGTTTTACTTTTTATCACTTCTACTCCCCATCCCACTGGGGCATGGAGGGGGAAGTGAGTAAGTTGCTGCAAGGTGCTTAGTTGCCAGCTGTTGTTTAAAGCACGACAAATAACTATAGCACCCACCTTTGTTTTTAAAGAAGTTCCCATGGCAGTGGTTAATAGACTGGGTCAGAGAACAGCTGGAAGATTTGTTCAGAAATGGATGAGCTCAACTAGAATTGCTGCTGTGGGCCATGTTTGGGTCATGCAAGACAACCAGGAAAGTTACCCACTGAAGTTTCATATTGAGTTATAGGCATCACTGTGGTGTTCTGTATGAGGAATCCTGAAGCTTTTAGCTGAAGCGGCAATACTTGGTTCTTTAAAAAACAACCAACCAAAAATCCCACCCACCCACTTTCTAGACCATATGGAGGTCTCATGAAAGTGTAAGTCCTGCCGAGAGCTGTAATTAGAAGTAGTTCCTAGGCTTGAAAGTGAGCAATTCCTTGTTCTGGACAGGAAATGTTTGAGTGCTCAGTTTGAATTGAATACTGGTATGCTGGGCAGGGGAAGAGAGGAAAGGAAAGGCAAAGAATGAAAGAAGGAAGGAGCAGAAAGTGGTTGTCTTGAAAAAAGCCAATATCATGGTTGTTTGAATTACTTGCAACAGAAGTAGTATGTAGTCTGTTCTACTGTGTATCATTACATGGGGCTGAATTGAGGAGCACAAAGTTCATTTTGCTACTCATCTGTGTTAGTGCAAACTTTTCCTTTTAATTCTGACACAAAATATTAATCACTATTTCTGTGTAGGATTTTTAAGCCATCTTTACTGAGGCTTTGTACTGCTGTAGACTTTAATTTTACATAATGCAATGGAAAAGCACAATTAACTGGAATCTTTTTACTTGTAATACATGTAAAAATGTAACTGCTGTGGTTTTGGGGGAAAGCTGCAATAAAACTTAGGAATCTGCTAGATAGCTTTGTGGAAGTAACATCAAATCAGCAGGTTTTTAATTCTGTAGTAGAAGCCTATCAATGCTATCTTTTCCAGTAGTTCTACAAAAGCTGTCTCCGAAGTCTTCAGTAGCTTGTGTAGTTGCATAGGTTGACACTGCTCTCCCTTTCACCAAGTGTATGTAGACCGTTGATTATCTGTGCTTTTACTGAACAGGGAAGGAAGAACTGGAGATGGAGTGTGAATCTCTATTCCCTTTGAAAACCTTGTTTTCACTAGGAGTGTGATATTTCTTGAGTACTAGGCACCTTTACACACAGATGCTATGGCTTGTGTAGACTTCCCTGCTGTAGTTTTTCACTTCTGCTTTCTTCACTCTGAATCTTTACTGTGAAAGGTGGTGAGGTGCTGGAACAAGTTGCCCAAAGAAGTGGTAAATACTCCATGCCTGGCAGTGCTCAAGACCAGCTTGGACAGAGCGTTGGGTGACATGGTCTAGTGTGAGGTGTCCTTGCCATTGGCAGGGGGGTTGGAACCAAATGATCTTAAGGTCCTTTCCAACCCTAACTATTCTATGATTCTATCTGCTTGGTAATATCTACTATGATCTAAAAGTGTCTTCTGGTGCATGAGCTTCAATGTTAAGTGCTTGCATGTTCTGCCCTCTGTCAACAATCAAGTAATATTCTGATTCTCCTCTCAGTTTCTTTTGGAGCCATGACTCATTAATTCCAGTTGATTCTTTAATTACCTGAAAAATTAACTCACGTTCTGAGCAGCAGAAATTGTATTAGCATTTTAGCTGGTTATCCTATCATAATGTTTCCGCCTTGGGGGCATATACACCTGATCTTTTTTGCCCAAGAATACCTGAAATTTGCTATTAAAGTAATCCTAGTTTGTCTAGTTTGTCAGTAAGTATTTTGCCTCTCCATTCTCAGTTTCCCTTGTTTCAATACAGTAAATTAATGAGGTTTTTTAATTTATTTGCCCTTCGCCTGCTGTGTCAGGCTTCTTTGCTTCATCTTTGCTTTCTTGGTGCTCTTTCTAATTCTCTCCATAAGAGAATGCCTATGCATTCTTCCCAGTGTATTTTTCAGTCCTGAAGTGCCAAATTTTTAAGAATATGTATTTAAAACATCCTCTGGTGAGTTAAGCTGGTCTTTCCAGTGAAAAGAGGAAAAATAAGGAAAAATGAGTGCAAGACCAACTGTGTACACTGATACTACTTTGAGTCTACTCCTTAAGTGTCTATGTGATAGGAATTACTGTAATTTAGTTTAGACTAGAGGGAATATTTCTAAAAGCACAAAAGAAGTTTATTTGTTTTTCAGTCAGTAAGGCATGCAACTAACTGTCCTTGTCAGCTCTGCAAAATCTTCAGTTCCTTTAGGATGAGTGATGGTGCAATGTGGCATGAAGCCAGAAAAGGGGCACATACAGTAGTCCTTGAAATGTCATATCTTACTTTAAATCTGTTTTACTGCTAGGAATAATTCTAAACTATTTGTACTGTAAAAAAAAAAATAAAGGGGAGACAGATTGGGACTGTGAGTGATTTGTAATATGGGTCTTGCAACCTCATGCCAGTGATTCCAGAGCTTGCATTAGAAAGTTAGGGGGGATTGGAACTAGCTGATCTTAAGGTCCTTTCCAACCCTAACTATTCTATGATTGCTAATCGCTGGAATTTCTAGTATGTTCCCAGGGGTGGAGACCACCGAAGAATCAGATAATTTCAAATAAGTTTGATAAGCTGCTGCATTCAACTGGTATGTTAAATACATTGGGTAGAATAAGTCATAGCATTCAAATTAACATTTTTATATAATTTGTCTGAGGAACCTGAGCTTGATACATTTCTTCTCTTAATGAGATTATGATGCTTATTAATTTATTTTCACGTGATCGGTCTTCTAGGAAATTGTACCATGTGATCTTAAGCTTTGCACCTCTAATGCTTCAGGCTTACTGCATCATGATTAAACTAAAATTATGTTTTGACAAGTCTGTGACTGGAGGGGCCAAAAGAGCAACTCGACTTGTAATTCTTTGGGAGCTGTAAACTTAATTGGTAGTGACAAGTCTTAGGTGGCCTATAAATTTTTTTGCATTTCTCCCTTTTTGCAGTACAGTTATGTTTCTGTTTTCATAGGTTTGCCTCTAAGAGCGTGATTCCTTCTTCCCCAAAGCAAATAGTCTGATTTCTTAGGTTACATGAATAATAAAGATTCTACAAGACAAGCAAGATCCCTAGGGAGCTTTCAGTGACTTGCATCCATTGCTGTTTCTTCCCTAAGTACTAGCTGTTGTACTTTTTTTTCCTAGTAGACAATAGTAGTATTGCTTTTGTGCTGATTGTGTTTCTCTAATAATTACAGCTATTAGTACTTGTGGATATTGTTACATAAGTTATAATTATGTTACTTATACCCTTCAAATAAGGTAGTTTAGGTTTTATTCTTCTTTCAACTTTTTTTCTAGATTTCTACAAGGTAGAACTTTGATCATTGGTTTTCATCAGGCTTTGCTTTCCATAAAGCTATTCTGGGGAGGTGGGGTATGTTCCAAAATAGGTTTTTTTTAAGGTCTAGAAGCATGAAAAACTTAGTGCTTTTTAAAAACATTTAGGAACTCCTCAGAGAAAGTGTATTTAGAGCGTTTAATGGCTGATCTCTGTCTTGAAATCATTTTATCTCCTGTATTCATTATCATGAATGAATATCTAAATGTGACTTCTGGTTGCAAATTTGCAAGGTTAAAATAGCACTGAATTGCAAAAAGTCTTAAGCTTTTCTTGCAAAAAGCGATTTTAACTTGCAGGGACTTACTAATCAGCTGATACCTTATTTAAGCCATAGAAAGATGTAATACAAAGGCAGTAAGAGGCTTTGGTAGACCAGCTGGAATGGAATGGAACAGAACAGAATTATTTATTTTCATGTGACTGTTTTACAGGTTGAAAATTGGTGTCCTCGTTTACCTTGGAGAGCAAAAAATCCTAATGAAGAAACTGATCAAAGAACAGTGGTAAGGATAATAGTAAAATATGAAATATAATTCAGTAATTGTGATTCATGCAAAAAATCCTGGAATCCTGTGCCACATAAATGCTGATAATACTAAAATTTACCGTTTTTATTCCTCAGCTCCTCAAAACTGAAGGGAGCATCCTTGATTATATATATGTTACTCATTATGTGTCTTCTCCAGTCATTGTGTCACATTGCAGTCTTGGTGGTAGATTTCCGTTAAAAACCATTTAGTGTTTACATTTGTGAAATATCTGAGATACCAAGAAAAATTCCAAAAATTAACAAATCCATTCACCAGCGTTAAGTGACCATGTGTGAAGCTGCCCAATTTTATGGTCCTATTAATATATATAATACATATAAAAATGCTTTAAGGGAAGTGGTATATATACATTTCAGTTCTGTAGTAACATTTTCATTACTCCTTTTTTTAAAAAAAAAAAAAACAAAACTCTACAGCATGCAGGTTGTTTCTAAATGCTATGGCCTAATTATGTAGCACATAGATATTTTAAGATAATTGCTGGGCTGCATATGAATGTTGCGTACGTAATTTAGATATAGGCTGTCTCATTTTGTAAAACCAATTGTTCTTAGATCAGTCTAGCTATAAAAGCAGTATTTCCTTTAAAATTTGTAATCTAGTAATGTTTCTTCCTTTATGATATAGTAGGATGCTTCCTTGTAGATTTTAAATGATTCAAGATATACAAAAATCTTCATCTTACTGAATCTTCAGCATACTGTTCTGATTTTATGTTTTAGAGATCCTTTAACCTCATTTTGAAGGACATGAACAAAACTAAATCGTATATTGCAGAAATAAGTACATTGTGGAAGCACTACAAACATAGTGCATTTAAAGCCAGATTTAATGGGGTTTTAGGCAATGTGATCTAGCAGAAGGATGGTTGGAACCAGATGATTTTCAAGGTCCTTTTCAACCCATACTATTCTATGATACTGTGGGGATACCAAATACTCCTAATAACAATAACAGTAATTTATGTGGTTTAGAAATGTCTGTTTAAAGCTATCTTAAGTGTTTGAACTAAAACCTCAACTTGACTTTAGTGTTAAGTGTGTCTTATTTTCCTTCTTTTCCATCTTCTTTCTGAATGAGAGATGAAGAGCACACAGTTCACATTTGGCAAGTTTTTTCACTTCTGGAGAGTAGACTGTGTGAAGTCTAACAAATGTTTTGGGGTTTTCTTAATGTTTTAATTGAAGGCTGAAATTCGTATCAACTTTGATAATCTCTACAAAATGATGTCAAGACATGAGGAATTCAGGTGGATGATGTTACGCATCAGAAGAATGGCTGATACCTGGATTGAAGCGATTAAATCACTTGCAGAAAAACAGAGTTTGGAAAAGAGAAAACGAAAAAAGGTAAATAAAAAGATTTTTCATTCCTGCCACTTGCAGTTTTATAGGCTCTTTTAAGCTTCTTATTCCAGAAGTAACTTCAGAGTGGAAATACCAAATATGACCAAAAGGCTCATGTTTATATGTATGCCTCTTTTCAAGAAGTATTTTGCTGTTTGAAGTTACTGTTACAATGGGTATTTGTTTTAACAAATAGTTTCACACACTTTCCATGAGTCATTCTTTGAGTAAGTTTTTAACCTCTTTGATTTTGGATAAAATAGAGACTATGTAGAAGATTCTAAAAGGAAAAACTGTGAATTTGCAGCAGGCTATTGAAAATTGAGTGTTTTATGTAATGGAGCAAAAAAGTTGTGCATCTTCTTTGTCCAAAATTAAGACTTTAAATAGCATAACTCTCTTTTGGATTTGAGTAGACGTAAAGTTGACAACAGCTTTAGATTGTTGAGATTTGTAGAGCTCAAGGTCGTAAACACCACAATGGGTTTCCCTTCCTTCTTAGTGGAGCCAGTCCTAAGTGACAGCAAGCCATGCACAGTCATGTTTCTACCCTCTCTTTAAACCCGGCTGGCTGTAGCCCAGCGCCTTGCTTGACAGTCTCAGTCTTTGCATGACATCTGTATGCCATGTTGCAGCTTTAATATTCATCACCTACTACAGTCCTGGAATAGGCTCACCCTTTGTAAAGGAGCAGACCATCTGTTTCAAGCAGTCCTCCAGCCTGTTTTATTAAAGAAATCTAACATCTGGGAATACTAAACTCAGGAATAAACAGAAACAGTATTGTCCTGCACCGGCAGTTTTGATGGGATGCTCTAGTTAATTCTTATTCTTTGCTTTTAAAAGTCCTTTGAGGTTGGGCTTTAAAAAAATAATGGTGATTTCGTTTTAATATGTCCAGCTCAGTTCTGGGAGCTGCAAGAGATTAGAATAACATGGTTTTTTGAATGGTGCTTCTTTATAAAGAGTGACAGGTCTTTATAAAATCGTCACAAAGGTTTATGGTGTTCATGAGGTTTTAGGCTTGCCACTGTATGTACCCACACTCAACAACCAGGTATTTAGCAAAGTGTTTGGAACTCGGTTTCTGTGCTTTGCTGGAAACGCAAGCAGGAATTTCAGAGAAATACAGAGAAAACTCCTCTGGTGGCAATGGAGAGGAGAGCTTTGGAAAGCATCCTGCTACTATTATACAGTCTTTTCAAGTTCTTGTTGGCTTGTCCCATCCTTAACTATACTGTCTTGCCTAAACAAGTGTATCCTACTTGAGAATCTTAAGTGGTTATTAAATCAAAGTAATTTGCCAACTGTATCCTGGGATACATCAAAAGATGCATGACCAGCAGGTAGAAAGGGTGGCAGATCAGCAAAGCAATGCAGTAACATTCTTATAATTATTGTTTTGGAGATCCATTACAGAATTAAGTAAGTCATTAGGGTGGGAGTATTAGATTTTTTTGAGTTGATATTTTGGCCACAGCTGGAATTTAATAGGAAGAAAACATGCCATGAGGTATAACGGTTGCATTTCAATGTTGATAACTCGTAACATATGACTTTTCTTTCCAGATTCTTGTTCATCTGGGGCTCTTGACAAAAGAATCTGGATTCAAGATTGCAGAAAATGCATTTAGCGGTGGCCCACTTGGTGAATTAGTCCAGTGGAGTGATTTAATTACATCTCTCTACTTACTGGGCCATGATATCAGGATTTCAGCTTCACTGGCAGAGCTCAAGGAGTAAGGAGATTACTTTCACTTTTGAAACTGGAATACAAAAAAGGAATTGTAAACTCTTAAAGCTTCCATTAACAGTATATAATTTCTTGAAGCATAAAATGAAAGTGGTAATTCACTAAACATACGATAGATTATTCTCATGAGCTGAGTATATGTACTATGAAAAGGATAATGTGTTTCTTTGTGGCTTCAGGCTCCTGAGACTTCATAAATGAATGTTGTAAAATTCAAGCTAAGCAGCTTATCTTTAACATTGCAGGTGCTTTAACCAGCTATAATAGGAAAAGTTACAGACTAGCCTAATTCTGTGTCCTTTTCTTCAGTTTCTGCTATTCTTCATGCAGTATCTCATTTTAAAATAGAAGTGTAGATCCTTTAAACACATTACTTTTGGTGTATTTAATTGCTAATATTAGGTCAAATTGCTACCTTGCTCGTCTTTGTCTTGCTCTGCATACTAGTTCAGCATTAGGCATTAAACATCTGTTTTAAGCTTGAGCACGTACACTTTTTCTGTAGCTCTTCGTTTTTTTTTATGACAAACATAACATCATTTTATAGAGAGCACTTGCAATATGAAGCTGTCAATAGAAATCTGAAATTATTTAAAATAATTTCAAAGTACATTTATTTAAATTATTTAAAATAATTTCAAAGTACACTCTAAACATTACAGCCACATTACTCTTGTTTAAACTAGATGGGGTTTTTAGTGCAAATTAGCGCTTTACTGATGTATAAATGTTTCTTAATAAATGATGAACATCTTTAGAATTTGAATGTTTTTACATGTTTTCTGGTTTGGAAAAAATAAGTGTAAAGCTTTTTTGAAAAGGGAAATTATTGGTGTAAACAGTATTACAGCATCTATTCAACATATTTGGAAAGTACTGCTTTTCCATATTCCTTCTTTGTTTAGGATTATGAAGAAGGTTGTAGGTAACAGATCTGGCTGCCCTACCCAGGGGGATAAAGTTGTAGAACTCATTTACATTGATATAGTGGGACTCACGCAGTTTAAGAAAACGCTTGGTCCATCATGGGTACATTACCAGTAAGTATAACACTTATTGACCTCTTAACTGCTTTGTTAAAGAGTTTTTTTGAGTAACATGTCAAAATATTGAGGTGAGTACATTCACATTGAATTTATTTAAAAGTGAAAATATGGTTCTCTGTTGACTTTCATTCTTAGGAATAAAGGGGCTAAGACCTGTTTGTTGCATACCATCTTTATGCCCCCCAGCAAGTTTGGGGTTCTTGGATTCAACCATTTTTAATCTGAATGAATTGTATTATCTTTCTGAGGCATTACCTTTGCCTTTCTTTCTCTCCCTTCCTTACACCCCATCCCCTTTGTTCTGTAAATTAGTAGATGAGCTGAGAGATTATTTGATCTTGTTCAGTTGGAATACCAAAGGCATATTTTGCTTGTCCATGTTTGTAGCTGTACTGGATTGATGATTGTGGACCTCTATCTATGCTAATTATACTGGGCAACAAATGCAATGCAATTTTTTCTGTTCCATCCCTGGAGATGCTGGGCAGAGAGTTGTTTTCAGGGACAGGACCAAACAATAAACTGCAGTTGTGCTTCTGTAAGCTGTGAATATTTTTCCATTAGAAATGGAAGATGGTGGTCACAAGAAATTACTTTGTACAGCCTTCTTAGCATCTGAAGTTTTAGAACCACCTTTCTTTTTGTCAGTAACTTTAAATCAGCAAGCTCCCATGTGCTGTACCGATATATATCAGCGTGAAATAAAACCAAATCTAAATTACTGACTTAGATCTTTCTATACACAATTGAATTAGCTGTGTTTTGTGATCCATGAAGTCCAGTAAATCCCACTTGAAGGAAGGTATTGAAAGGTGTTCACTGCAGGCAGAAAAATTGTTTTCTTTCAACTTCAGGATTTTCTAGAGCTTTGGTCCTTTTCAGCATATTTTTAAGTGAGAATCCTGTGATCAGTGTTACTGATTAGATTACTATTATCTCTATTTACTTTTTTTTTTTTTAAGCAAAAGAGTAAATGGTTATTCTGTTTTATAGGATCCTGCTAGTAAAGATAATCCCGTTTTCCACTGAGCTACAGTTGGTTGGTTGTGAGATGTAATTGTCAGTAGGTGATCATATACAGTATTATAGTCTGAATATAAACCCATACTTACAAATTTGAAATGTTTCTCTCCTTTTGTTTTGAATTTCCTATTTGGTATGTTCTGTAACGAAGATATGGAAATACACCATGATACTGAGAATATTAGATTAACTTTTCAATTTTTCTTGCTTATTTCATGAATCATTAAATCTCAAGTTGTCAGTCTGGTTTTCATCGGTTCCTAATTTGTGGTAATGACTGACACTTTCTCGTTTAGGAGAGTAGAATTAAATTTAACGCTAAATAAATGCCTTCGGTAATATAGGAGTTTTTGTTAGGCTTTTGAAGAAGAAAATAAATTCTTAATGCCTCTCTTCTGCAATCTTTGATTTCTTGGAATGGAGGAAGACCTTGTCTAGTCCATCGTCTTTCTGAAAAGTAGATTGAATGTCTTTCTCCTTCTTGAGAGACTTGACTGCAAAAGATGTCCCAGACACTGTTTTATATTGTTAAGCTTTTGTTTGAAGTGTTTTTTCTTGGTCTGGTTGCTTGTAAAGTGCCCATAACTGCTTATTCTGATATGGTTCTGGGGAATAAATTGCTTCCGTCCCCTCTCTCCCAGCCTCTAGACTGTCCTTTACCCTGTTGTTCCTTCAGTTTGCTTTTCTTCAAAATAAATTTAGGGGGTTTGATCATTAATTACAATTCAGGTTTTTCAGACCTGAGAGAAATCTATCTAATTACTTGATACTTTTTCTCAAGTTCAGAGTACAAAACAGTGTCCAGAGTTTAGCAGGGACTACAGGATTGATTAGAGCAGAAGAATTAATCCATAGCTTCATGCACACTATCTCCTATTTGAGGATCCACTTGCAATTATGTTTCTGTTTCTCAGTGTCATGAGTTACCTCATAAATTTTGTCATCAAAATAATAAGTTAAAACTAGTAAGTACAGTATAAAAGCATAATTATATGGTTTTGCTTAATTCATTCCAGTAAAATAAACATGATCACAAATAAAGCTGGCTTATAGCCTTTGTTCTTTACAAACTTTGATTTCTCACTCAGTTGTGTTTAATGTCAATAGGAATAATTCTTTGTCTTGAAAGAGGTGTTTTGCTTTGTGCCATATGGTTTTTCAGGAGAAATGTCAGCTCAGTTTGATTTATGCAGACCAGACTCAAATACAGATAAATTAAAACTTGTTTATTCACTCTCAGATTGGAATAGAGTGGTAGAATAAACCCCTGCCTGCAGAGCAGTGTCTTGATAAGAGTGCTATGTGCAATTTTTGTGAGTGAACTAGAGCCCTGGGGATTTTCTTGGTAATTGCAAATCAGGTTTCTAGAATTGGTAGGTCTAAAGAATGACCCTGCAGTTCTGAGGGGTGAGAATTTCTAAACAACTGAAACCCTGTTTTGTACGTCTGAGATCAGTAGCACCAGTGATTCTCTGTAGCACATGCTTTATCTGAGTTATAATTAGTGTCGTAAATAGTATGAATCTAGCAAAACAGATCTCATTTTTGAGGTCACTATTTTCAAGCAGACAAATGCCTGGACATACTGTTTTTCACTTCTGAAGTCTGGATATTTGAGAGCAATTTCTGGGCAATGAAACAACAAAAAAAATAGTAGCTTAATATAGTTTGAGGAGTGCAGCACATTGCCTTTCTTAGCACCCTCATCCTCCGTACAGCACATAAAAGTCAGATTTTTTTCTATTTTTCCCGTTTTTCTACAGTCTCTCTAGCAGTGACTCATTCCCAAAAGCCAAAAAACCAGCTAGCTTTATTCTTGAAATAAATTAACATGACGGCTATCCTAAAAAAAGTGCAACATTCCTGCTTTTTGCATGTTCTCTAGAATACATTTGTTTTAGGAGGCTTATTTTCTGACTCAGTTTCTACATTTTAAATGCAAGTACTGAGTGGCCTGAAAGTGAATGTGTGTGTCTGCAAGGATTTGTATAGGCAGATATGAGCTGCTCATGATCTGAGCTGGCTGGACAAGCAGGCTGGAGTCCATGTATCTGTGCTGGCACATTGCTGTACCTGAGCTCAGTGCACTTGTCGAGCTTCCAAACCAAAATTGGGTGGATCTTGATCAGCTTGCTCCCAGGAAAATGTCTACGTCCACTGCCATGTATGTACCCCTTGTTTTAACTTTTTGTGCAGGCATAAGCACTAGTTGCTGACAGCAGTGAGTGCTGCTGGACACCGTTGCTTGTGTAAACAAAGATGAAGTATACGTAAGTAGAGAAAAATTATAACCTCAGGTGGGAGAAGGATATGTCCTTCCACAAGGACAGCCCCATTAAGATTGTGCTTATGCCCAATATTTCTGAAAAACACTCACTTCAAAAATTGTGATAATTCTGAGTTACTTTTGTCTAGGTACATTTTTTTTTTTATATATTAGGCCCCAAAATGATCACTTCTAATATGCTATAACAAGAAAGATGACTTTAATATGGATGTTTCTATAAGGAGTGTGATACCCACCAATCCTCTGTTTAATTAGTCAGTGAATAGACTAATCAGTCTGACACCAATTCCATGCTATAATTCTCTGCTACCTCACTGCTAAAGCTACTTGACATCTTAGGAGGGAAAGAGGAAAGTGGGTGAAAACTGACATTAAATTCAGTCTAAATTAACATTTTTATTCAAAATATATGCGTGATTTAAAAAAATGCTGTTTTGCCATTTACAAAATGAAATATTTCACTTTAAAAGTGCTAAAATGTTGTATGCAAAATCAGTCTTTTTGTTTTAAAATAATTCAGTTGAAAGAGGTTTAAACCACCAAGTGACACAAATGGAGAATACAGTACTTGGGTAGACAACTGAGGTGTGCCTGCATATGTTAAAATACCAGTTCAGCATAACTGGCATTAATTGCCTTAATTTCTAAATTTAAAATCTTTACTAGTTCTTTTCTGCTGTATTTCAGGGATTAGATTCACTACTTGAACCTTTGCTATTTCATACCATTTCTGCACATACTTACACTTTCTGCTGTGACCTTTTTCTCTTTTCCAACTTACTTTATGCCTGAATCATATAAATACTTTTTTGTTTTCCCTGTTTTCTGGTTTAGTGTAGTTTCTATTGCATCACATTTCCTGCCCCGTTTCAGAAATCCTGTGTGTGTTGGACATAGTTACACATACCCTTGTGAACAATTAGTGCTACGCAGCTTTCATCTGGATACAGGAAAAAGAGAGGAAACAAAGCACTCTGAGATGACCACATGTGATTTAGTGCTCCTTACATAAATAATTTGACAAACTCCAGTAATGTTGCAATTTTTCAGTAGCTTTCACCTATTGTTCATTCTCCCTTACTCAAGTACCTGGCCAAAAGCTGTACATTTGATAAAAATTTTGTTTTAAGGCCTGCCAAGAAATAAGAGGGTTTTTATTACTGAATGATTCATCAGTGCAGACGTTGTTTTGGTCCTGCTGAAGTCTTTTGTACGATGCAGAGATAACTGCCACTGTTGTAAAATATTTTCATTGAGATCAGTTGACATGAAACACTGCACAGAAACTGATCTGTCAGCTTTGTTGTTTGGTGAATCATAATGTATTGTATATTGCGACTTTCTTTCCGCTTGAAAGATCTCTGTGAAGATTTAACAAAAAAAGTAAATTTTCTCTATTTGTACTTTCAAAGATAGAGGTGTCATTTTCATGTGAGAGTTTAAAGGTTGCTGTTTGGTGGTTTGCTTTTTTTCCTTTTTAATAGACACTTTGGAGAAAAGAGACCATATAAAAAATATGTACATGTATTTTAGGGACCAATTCTTTCATCTTTTAAAGCTGAAAGATGGCTGGAGCTAATCCTTTCACCTTTGGGGGGCTAAATTCTGTCTCATTTTAAAGCCAAAATCCTGTAGTTTTACTGAACTTAATATATATAGGCTTGAAGCATGGGAAGTGTTGAAGACTGGGAAGTATAGCCATTTTTAATAGTAACTTTTGTAGCTTCCTCAATTCTCTGCCACCATGAGGTTGTGTCTTTTCTTTGGCACATACAAGCCCCATGATAAAGCATTCAGTGATAAGAGTTCATACCTTTATAACATAGCGGCACATAGTGTGGGAACAAATCCTATACATTTTTTTTTTCTGAAAATTGTTAAGGAGGGATGAAGAATGGTAGGGTCAGCAGCTTTGGAGCCATATAGTCCAATTAATTTGCAGTATAGCTGGTGGTCAGTATGATGGCTATAAGGTTTGACATAAAGGTTTGGCAGGCTGCATTTTAGAAACACAATTTCTAGAATCCATATGCTAAAATGTGTGCTGCCCTTTTCATACTGAGACTTTTTCTGCCTCTCATATAATGTGGACCCTTTTTGGAAAGGAGCTGCTCATAAGTGAAGTAATTTTTTATTTTTTTTGTCAAGGAATTCATAGGAGTGAAATGAAGGACTGAGTGTGATTCTTTTCGCTTCAGACCCTTTGTAGTCCAGCGCCAAGGTTTCTCTCAGTTGTGTACTGTTTCTTGCAGACATTTTTCAATATCTTTTCTTCAGAAGTCTGTGACAAAGTGTTTCATAAACAAATGGTCTGTCTGACTGTAAATATTCAGAAAATTAAGCTGTCTTCAGTGCTTCTCTAGTGGGTCTAATTTACCCAAAAGTCAGTCAGAACCTGGAGACTGAATACAATTGTCTAAACACAAAGTAATGTTCTACTCTGATCTTCTTGGCATACGGCCCTCAGCTGTTGCATTTGATTTTGTGGTAATGGGTGAGAATATTAGAAAATAGATGAAGAATCCTCTCTTCTTCTGCCTAAATTCTGCTTCAGAGCCCCAGGAATGTAGGTGACCACAGTAGCATTCCCATAAGCTCCTGTAAGCTCTACTTGGATGTTAAAGCATAACTTTGTTCTGTAAGAACAAAGAAACCCAAAACAAGCTTCATGGTTGTTATTTGAATGTCTGATATATCCTTGAATTTGCTTATCATAATGTCTTTGTGAATGTAATATGAACAAAAATGTTTGAAATGTATCTTTAGTTTATAAATCATCCGCAGTTGCAAACGCAAACACATTTTAATTATCATAACTTACATATATATGTATATGTAAGTTTTATATGCATGTGTACCTACAGTAAATTATTGCTCTCTTTTAGGTGTATGCTAAGAGTTTTGGATTCCTTTGGAACTGAACCAGAGTTTAACCATGCCCATTATGCCCAGTCTAAAGGCCACAAGACACCATGGGGAAAGTGGAACCTTAATCCACAGCAGTTTTATACAATGTTCCGTAAGTATCCCTGTGTTTATAAATAATTCAGAGCTTTTACAGGGAACACTGTCATTGAGAAGAACTTCTGTATTATGAAAGGTAAGTTCATGGTTTAATAAAATGCAGCTTACCGAATGGACAGAATCGTGTCAGTAAGTGTCTGTAGACTGTGCAGAATCTCTGTTGTGCTTCCATGCAGCAGCTGGAAAAAAAAAATATCAACTTAATATAAATAATGGTAGGGAAATTTATTTTCAGGGTACCTGTGGGAAGTGGTGATTGTCTTTATATTCAAGTGTCAGTGAGTTAGCTTTTGTTAATTTTGCCTTCTCAAATCCTGTCTATGGAGCAATAGGGTTTTGGCAAACTTGCTAGACTGCATTTTTATAAACTAAAAAATTATACATTTATAAACTAAAAAGCTCACATTTCATCATGTTAAACTGAAGTTTGTAGCTGAAGTTTGTAACTATGTTAACTAGGTTTCTTTCTTTCTGCTTTTTTCCTCTGAACAGCTGAGCAGCACAATTCCTTTGCCATTTCTTTTTGCTCAAGATTAATAAACTAATACTCAGCAAAAATATTTTTTCTCTACTTTTTTACGGATTTAAAAAATTTTTAAAATTCAAAATTTAAAATTTTAAATTTTAAAAAATTAAATTTTTTTTACGGATTTAAAAAATTTTCACATAGCTTTTTTTTTCATCTTGGGCATTCATCCTGAGGTGAACTGATTCACCTTTATTTGCTAGCAGTGTACAAAGCTATTGAAAAACAAGTAGTAGATTTCTGCACTGCTTTAGCTCTCTGAAGCATTGTTAAATATCTCAAAAGAACACAAAAAATTATATAAATCCTGTATATATTGGATCAGATTAAATCATTACTGTTAAACCATACTGGCCTGCTCTAGACCCAGTCCTTAACTTCTTTGACTTTATGGCACTAGGTTCTAGAATCAAAGGATCTTTCTCTTGCATGTTGTAGTAGTCGTTCAAGTTTGTAATCTCTGAAATATGCAGAAAGATTCACTACTGCCAGATAGCTTGATGTTAAATGAAGCTTAGGGAAGAGGAAAGGTTATACTTTTGTGTGCAGGAACTTTTCAGCCCAAGTCTGTAAGGAAACACTTGGCAGTGACCAGGTTGACTGCCAAAGTGTGGTGGTGGTCCCTTGTCTGAGACTAAGGCCAGAGCATGCACTGTTCTCTGTCATCAGACTTCATAGTCAAGTCTCGCAAACTTTTCTGCTTTTCATAGCAGAAATATACATGCTGCTGTCTGGTTGACATGCTTTTGATTTCAGTTGCCATGTAGAATTCTTGAGAGAGGCATATTTTGTCTGTCAACATTTGCTGTGCCAGTTTTTCCAGAGAAATATAAGTGAAGGTTGTTCAAAAGATAAAAGACTGCATTCACAGTTGTTTGGAAACAAGTAACAAAATGTGTGTTGGGGAAATGTGACTTAGAAGTGGTTGCAGAGTCTGTCTCTGGACATAGTAAGCATAACTTGTGCCTTATCCATGTGATTTGCTATATTTATTGGTTTATGTTCTAAATGGAAAAGGATCTGAAAGCTCAATATTTAAACGATCCAGCTGCTGGGAAATTTGTGTGTGTGGTCCTGGTCAAGATAGCAGCAAGGATGATGAAGCCTTTGAGGAAAATAGTTAAATGAATACTTGTGGTACAGCTGTGTGTGTGTACTCCTCAATCCCACTTCTTGAAATGCAGAAGAAACTAAATCTTCTCTATAGAGATCTCTGTCATGACAGCATAGACTACTGTCACAGTCTCTTGTTCAGAGCAAATCACTTCATATAATGGATTTTCAGAAGTGTACAACTGTATCGGAATTTCAGTAAATAACCATTTCCAATTTTTACGACTGGAAATGACTGCAGCTTTTCCTTTACAGAAGTGGTAAATGGATTGCAGGCAAACACATTCTGAAGCCATGAGTGATTCCAGTGCTGTCGATTATTGAAGGGTTTTTTTGCTTTCTGTACTGCTGTAGAAGATTCAGCATGTTTTGTGATATTTAAAGGGTTTTGTTTTGTTTTGTTTTTTCTCTGCTGCAGAGGTAGCACCATTTTTATGGGGTTGTGATTAAAAGCACATGTTATGCATCAGTAAAGATTTTATGACAGATTTGAACCCTGGACAGCTTCCAAAAATCCCCAGACTCTTATTATGTTTTGAAAACTCTGATTATAAGGGCAGAAAATTATTACTGAGCAACAAGAAAGCCATACTCAAACCTGTGGCATATTACCAAATGCTTGACTATTCTCTGAGCTTTCCAAAAGCATGAGGGTTTGGGGTTTTTTTACCCCTTTTTATGTTTTTAATTTAAATTCTTTTATGCAAAATAAGAGTACTGGTACTTTTAAAACTGTGTGATGCTGCTTGAAAATTTGAGTGCTTCCTTTCAGTGATGTTTGAGCCACTGAATTCCACCAGTTCTGAGTGCTAACTTTAACAAAAGTTTTTCTTCTGGGTGAACTGCCTTGCCTGTCCTTTGAATGCAGTCTCTTATCCAAAATATGAAGGGATAGAAAAATGCCCCTTGTCAGGCATATTTGCTGTGTGTTATTTGCTATGCTAAATCCTAAAAAGTCCTTGGGTCTGAGTGCTTAGTTGTTGCTGAGGCATTTTTTTATGAAAAAGAGTAATTGTCATTTGTAAGACTAAATGTAATGGCAGAAGGAAGCGTACACTGTGTATGGTTTCTCTGTTCTACTGCATTATCAAGCTCACTGATTTCAGGAATCAAAAAGCAGAGCCCTATAATTGCAATAGAATTTATTTTATATATAACCTTGGCTATAGGTTTACCACTGCATGTATCGTAAGTGCCTGGGGCCCTGTCTTTGGGTTGGGGTTTATTTATTTTATGGGGTTTGGGTTGTGTTTTTTTCCTTTTTTCTTTGGGGTTGTTTGGGTTTTTTTTTTGTTCTTTTTTAATAACTTTGCAAAATGTGCTTAATAAGAAGTTATCAGCTTGTGTGCCAGAATTTAAAAGGGAGGCTTAAACCAAACAAAACAAAAAACCCCTTAGTTTTAATGGGCCTATAGATCTGTGGAGATCAGTGGCTAATATTGCTGGATGTCACTGCTGGAAAAAGACTAACAGAGGCTACAAATAATACAGAAAACTTACGAGTAAGTTGTCATCCTTTGCATGAACTTTTTGTCTGGGCGCTGGATTAACAACTGTTTTGCCAAGATAGATCTGAGTGAATTAGGCAGTGAAATTTGTGTTATTATCAGCGTAGTGTGATTTGTAGGCTAGTAATGAGCATGGATAGGTAATATGCAGTGAGTGGGATGGTCAGTGTTAGCTCTTCCAATATGGGAGGTAAACCCAAGAAATTTACTAGAATTATTTATGGCAGTGAGCAACATACAGCTTTGTTAACAAGCATAAACCCAGGGTTTTTTCAAGTTGTTGGTATTGCATCGCTGAGATTATTAAACTGAACTTCTTCTGGTTCTCTTATCTCTAATAATAAAATAAAGCTCAGCACACAAAAAATCGTTATCATTGGCCTCAGTCCAGATACAGAATTTTTATTGTCAGAAATGAGCCAGAAAGTAACTGCTTACTTCAGTAGACATACATAGCAGGATTTAATAAGGACTTTATTGATAATAAAGCAAGCAAACGTATCTCTCTCTATGAATGCAAAGTGATCTGTTAAATAATATATTCCTTATACCTGCATTTCTAACAATATTCACAGTGTTGTAACATTAACTGATACTTTAAAAGGTTTTGAATATGCTCTGTGTCTTACAGCTCACACTCCAGATAACAGCTTCCTTGGATTTGTGGTAGAGCAGCATCTGAATTCCAGTGACATTAAACACATTAATGACATCAAAAGGCAGAATCAATCTCTTGTTTATGGCAAAGTAGATAATTTCTGGAAGGTGAGTTTTCTATGCTCATGTACTTGAGCAAATTTATTTTGATCAAAATCATAAAGCAACTTAATAACTCTACAACTAAGTATGTGCTGCATTTTGAACTGAAAATTGTTTCACTAAAGACCATAGAAGTGTCAATCTTGTTTTATCTCCCCATAATAATATCAGAGTTTTATTTCTTAAATATTGCAATTTCTATATTGTCTCCCATCTGCAGAAGGGACCTGCAGAATAACAACTATGAGGTTTGGTCATATTTTCACCAAGTTAATGTATCTTGTGTTGTTAAGCTCACAGTGGCCTCTGTTTCTTGTCCACTGTCCTTTTCTGGATCTTCTTCCAGGCTGCCACACCTGGGAGTGTGTGTCTCATGCAGTTTCCAAAGAAAAGAGATTATTTACTAATAATGGGATTCCTTCCAAGTAACTGCTAGCTCTGTGTGCCCACATGCACTGTATGCCTTCCCTCCTGCCTAAGACCCTATTCTAAGCCACTTGTCAACTGAAAAATGAGCTGATCAGTACACGCTGTGCCATACATAGGACCAAGCAATATGACAGTGTGAGAGCATCCATGCCTCACATTTTCTTTCCTTTTCTCTTCATTGGCATGAGACTATCAATCTTGCAGTTTTCTGAACCGCAGAAGCAACATTTAGTCTGATGACTGTGATTATACAGAATAAATTCTTGAAAACTGTTAGCTACAAGTAAATGGTCCATCTGTGAGACAAAACAAAATAAAAACTGAAAAGACATGGGAGAGTGTTGCCATTGGTAGCAAAAATATAGAGCTGAATGCTCTTTTGGCCACTGTGCTGAGAAAAATAGGTATATTAGCTCTCAGGTTTGTGTTTGGGTTTACTGCACTAAGCCATGTAATCTGTGTCTTGAAAGGATATTTTGCTTTGCATCATAGTAAATACGTGACAGTTACTGTATTTGGCTTATGGTATAGTGTGCCCCCATCTGCATTAGTCTGTCTGCAAAGTGGTGGAGCAGATCTGGGGTCCTTTCATTCAAGTCTTTCCTAGCAGAGGCTGTTATACTTGGAGTTGCTGATCTCATTATCAGTCTCTTAGGAACAGTTGCATGTAATAATTATCTGTACTTCCTGACCTGATTTGCAGTGCATATCAGCAGAACAACCTGTTGAATACTAGTTGGATTTAAGGAACAAGATAGTTGCTTAGTCACCAGGGTTTTTTTTACTGACGTGTATGTCTTTCTCAGTTTATTCTTTCTGCATGAATTCAGAACTGTATGCCCAAAGGGGAGATTTTTGATTGCCTAGTCTGAGTTTCTCTATGACACACAGGATATTCATGGGCTGATTAAGACAAAAACATGGCTTTTTTGAAAAGAACATCCAATCTTGATTTTTAAATAGCACACAATGGAAACCCCACTATTTCCTCTGGTAACATCCTCAAATAATTGCCTTCTCCCTGAAGACTTTGTTTTATGTCTAGTACAGATTTCCAAATGGTAATTTTCAGTCACTGGACAAAATCCAGTAGATTTTGTCTGCTAGACTTATGATGTATCTGTTCTGTTTCCCTATAGGAATATATAGGTTAAGTTCAAAGTAACCCATAGTCATCTCCTGAAAAGCCTGTATATACTGAACCCCTGAGAACTTTGTGCTTTCTCATCTTTAAGTGTTCTCATGTGTCTGAACCTTTAAAAGATTATTCACATTCCACTGGAAATATGAATGTTAGCAAAGGGAATGTGGGCCGTATCAGAATCAAAATCAAACAGGAAATATTATGAATGTATTGTTAGGCATATCCCCTTTTCACCATTAGGAACTTGTGTTTATACAACTTCTCAACTTTTTAAAGAACTAGTGCTTATCAAGTCACTGCTCTGTTTCTATCAGTATTGCCTGTCTTGTTTCTTCCAAGATGTATGACCTGCCTGTATTAAAATGCTCACTGTATGCTTATAACATCAAGCATGTTAAAACTGTGATTTGCAGATTGTAACTGCAGTCATACCCATATGCACTGGTACATAACATGCAATCACCATAGATAGGCTTTGAATCAGTGACAGAGTGGGATGTCCTGGAGTGATAAAATGCAATTCTTGTGACCAACAGAAAGCCTGAACTAATCTTGCATCTGTGTTATTTGCTTATTTCGTGTCTCCGTCATTTTTCCTGTACAAAGCTCTTTTTCATCTGCCACCAAGGCTTGTACTGAACTATACTAATCTATTTATCTTGCTCCTTTTTCTTATATTGAACACAGCTAATTAATGAAAAGTGTAATCTCCACAGAATACACATGTCACTGCTGGAGCTGATCAGTCATTAGTGAAGCACAGTGGGGGGGGGGGGAGTGTGTTCCAGTCCCCAGGCTAAGATGCTTTTGGGGAATAGCAGTTGCAAATAAATTGTTTAATTTTAAACTGAGGAGGTTGAAATGGAACTAAGGAATTGCGTGGAGCCTCTTTTTCCCCTGGAGGTGGGACTAGAGTAGCTAACTGCCATTTAAATTACTTGCCATTTCATCTTTGCTAGAAATCCCCATGTCTGCACCTCTGCTGCCTGGCTAGGCAGAGTTGGTGATGCTAGCTCAGCCCACCAGCCTAATCTGCATACACTAACCAGGTTATTGCAGCTAGAGAATTATGGATCACTTAGAGACAATGCTGTGTCTTCCTACATCATTCAGTGGGGCTAAACTCTGCTATGAACATGATGAGTAACAGGAATACAGTGATGACTTCTGTTGGCATTTCTGGACACAGGAAGAATGTCAGCCTGTGGCCTGAGACCCCATTCACCCCACGTTACAGTGTGCAAGTCTGGGTACATCTTGCAGGAGGTCAGGAAGCATGTAAGCTACTGAGACTGTATGATACATCTTGTTTACTTCCTTCTGATAACTAAATCAGTCTTAAGTGGGTTAAGGATTACAATTAGGAGGCTCTAAAGAATTTATCAGTATTTCTAAAGGTAAGGCTTAAAGGTAACCTACCAAGGGTAACATTTGCCAAGTTTTGGATGTGTTTGTTGTAATCAAAACTTCGGGCGTTTGTCTGGGATTTCTGGCAGTACTAAGGTATAAAGAGAGTCTTATCTCTGCCTAAGTGAAAAAGACGGAATGAATAAAATGTGAGTGAAACCCACAATGCTCTCCATTATCAAAATTGGCTTTAATTACAGAACAGCTCAATTAAAAGGGAATGTTTGAAGCCTTTCATGTCATCTTAGCTCCTGTTGCGGTCTAAGTTTTTTCTTTGTTCTTCTCCCTGCAACTTCCTGTCATACCATTCCAGTACTTCTACCCTTAAGCCTTGAAATAAAAAAGAGTCAAGATTCATTTTATAGTATTTACTATTTCTTTTTTTTTTTTTGTGTGTGTGGGGTGCTGTGGCTTAAGTCAGAATTTTGCTTGTTTCAGAGAACAGCCATCAGTGCATAGCGTACAGTTGTATGATCACTGCTTTGAGTTGTCTTTAAAATGTTTATATATTTAAAGGCAAAATAATGTGTGAGTTTGTTGCTAATACCCTTGACAAGATGGGCATTCTTCTTAAACATACACTGTCTGTAAAAGAAGCTGTAAAGAAATTTAGCTTGTTCTCAATGGGAAAGTAAATAACCAAGGCTATTCTTATTATCTCCCCGTTATAGCTCCATGTGACATATGTAATTTCCCTATCGCATGCCCTCTTGAAGGAAGTAGGAGGAAGAAAAGTCAGAAAGGAGAAATTACACTTCTAGGAATAGTTCTATTACATGCAAAGATCAGTGTCTTGTTGCTGGTAGTGTTGCCTTTTTCCCTTCCTTCTGAGTGCTTTTTGTGCTTCATATTTAGCAGCATACTTTGGCTAAACATTTAATTTTTTAAGCTCAAAGATACATAAGGAAAGGGAGGAAAGATCCTTCTCACCTTTTCTCTTCAAAGTGCTCAGTAGTTTTGAACTTGCCTTGTGGTAGTTTTGTCTTACTCCAAACTGACAGCAACACCGTGATCTTTCCTATTGATCATAACCTACCCTAGTTGCAGTCACCAAGCTTCAGGAGCACTGCCTTGCTTTATGCCACATAAGAAATTGAAATCGACCACACACTCTAGTTCAGCACATCTCTAAAATGCAGAATTTGCTTCTGAAAAAAGTATGGATCAAAAAAACAAGTAAATCAAAGCAAATGAGAAGCTATAGGTGCAGTAAATAAGTTTACATGTATGTACATTTTGTAGGCTTATTCTTCAACAGTATGAAAATTAGTATTTATTATGAAGAAATAAAGGAAAGGAGAGGAGAGTGTCTCATAGTTAGTTCTGGAGATTTCTATTCAAAGGACAAGAAATTCCTTGTTCGACATTAATGTCCATTACATGGCAGTGAAGTTGTCAAATCTTTAAAAAACCTCAGTGTAAAAAGCAGGCAAACAAACAGATTAAGAACTGCAAGAAATAATGAATGAAACAGATAAAGATGACAAGCAGAATTTCTGGCAGATCTTGAAGACTCAGTTCTTTACTGAGATGTTTATTCATTCCTTGTGCAAGGATTATATATGTAATAAATAACATATAGGTATGTGGTCGTGTGCGTTTTATGATGTGGTAGTTGCTTAACAGAGAAGCCATAAATGGACGTTCAGGGAAGAGCAAAAGCATGGCAAAGTTACTCAATACTTCGCATATTCTCTCTCTTCCCAGCTTTTTTCAGCTCAGGGTATTTTCTGAATCTGTTTGTCTATTGATAAACTGACTTTTGACACACTTCTGAGATCTCAGTAAGAGGTGACTTACTGAAAGCGCTTGTCATTTGGGCTGATTTTTTTCATGGACCAAAATCGTATATTATCATAATTCAAAGTCTTCATTCCCGAGTGATGTCAGTTAGCTGAGGTCCTTTATTCAAACATGAAGCTAGGACTGGTTTTCAACATGTGCATCACTTTGTATTGACTTTATCAGTCATTGTATTTCCTAGTCACTTCATCCCTTAGATTACTGAGACAGCTTTTTCAAAAGC